TAATCGGCTTTTATCCGAGCAATTATCTCCAAAATTTAGGAATTCGTATTTTTTGATGCCGTTATCTTTAATACTTCAAATGTCACTTCCAATTTGACCACAAATAAGACTTTAAAATTTTAAGTAAGTCATCCATGAATTTTATCTAATATTCTTATAAAAATACCTTATAAAAATAAAATTTCGTTAGCAACCATGCTTCTTTACTTCTTATTTATCTACCAAAAAGAGCTTAAAACCACCTTTAGTAAATATTATTATAAAACTACTATTTAAAAACAAAATTTCGTTAGCAACAATGCCTATTTGCTTCTTATTTAAATTAAATGATAAAAATTTTGCCCTTTTGTAAATATATGTAAGTATTATGAAATCTGTTTTCTGAAATATGTATTTGATGCTTAATATTTATTGAAACTCCTTAATGCGGATCTGAAGTATTCAGCCCAAAGGATCATGGCGGCTTTATGTCAAAACGGTAATAAATATTTACCGCTGAAAACAAATATATTTCTTATTTTTCATAACATTGGCACTTATATTATAAGTACATACATTACCATTTTATAACCGGGAAAATTGTCATGTCACTGTGCATGTCACTGTGCATGTCACATGCGAGTGTTATTTTATATGTGTCAGGATCAGTCATTTGTAATTTATGATTTTTTTTATCGAATTTAGTGTTTTCCTTTGTATATTTTTTAACAATTATTGAGTAAATCTGTGTTTAGTGTTTTCCTTTGTCTACTTTATGAATCGACGACTTTTTGTGGTATGTGCTGAGCTATTTACATATTTTTATTTATTTTATTAAAGCAAAATTATTTTTTAGTGAACTGATGGAATCTAAAAAAAAAAGATGTGTTTATCGCCCATGTCTACCTCGAACGGATTCGAATACTAGTTATTTTTCATTTCCCAAAGTTTCAGAAAGGTATGCAAAATAAATTATGCAATTTAAATGAGGAAAACTGATAGCTCTACCTAACAAATAATTTAAATTTTGATGCAGATATCCAAATTTACCAATGTTATTTGCTACGTTTGAAAAGTACCTCCTGGAGCGGAGCAGAACTATTAGATTTTTTAATCATGTGATAATCGGTCAAGTTACTCAAATAAAAACTCTTTTTTGGTGTAGCGATCAGTATAATTTACTTCAAGATAAATTATTGTGAAGCCTTATTTTTCAAATTATATCACTAACCTTTAATTCAGAGAAGAAATAGGAAATGTTGCTAAATAAGTTTATTACATATATTTAAATCCTTTTCTCAGTGTACTATCCGAATTTATACGAATCTTGGTAATTTTTACCAGTGTAACAACCGGCAAGAACGTCAACTATCACCGAGTGTCACTTTAAATTTTGGCCACCCCGACATCAAACGTGCCAACGCAAGTCTTCGCTTCTGTAATAATTATTCTGTGCAACATGCGCTATGTGCAATGTTACATCTTCGGTCTCTTTAATCTAAGGTTAAGGCCAAAGAAAGAATTTGTAATAAAAATAAGTATGAGTGTGAATTTTTGGAAATAAATATTTAAAAAATGTTCACGATTTTCATTATATACACTTATTCCTTGATGTTCAATATTAAAGAAACATCCTGTATTAGGGTGTCTAGTACATGCCTAGTATGCATGTGCTTATTGCATACTGTACACATACTTGAAGTACATTCTTAGTATCTACATAGCATGTATAAACAACAAAGTCACGTAACATATACTTAGTATATTCTGAGAATGTACTAAATAAAAATAAAGTTTATATTCTCAGCATATGCATATTTATAAAAAGTATAAACTAAGAATATGCTAAGAATGTATAATTGTTAACTGAGTTATTAATCCTATGCTTCTTCACAGCCTTATTTTTGTTATTAAATTGACTACGAAAAGCTACTTTGAATAAAATCGCGTCATTCACATATGTTGAAGTCGATTGATGAGTTAGATCGGCGTCATGCGATTTCCAACGCCTCATTTCTGCTTTCTCAATCTTATTCTCGCTTCATCTGAATAATCTTCTGTGTCTTGCTTCTTATAGATTTGCACTACACCCAAGAAAAATTTAAGCTGAACCTGAATAATGTTTGGCATTCTATATTATACTCTTCACAGTTTAACAGATCCCCTTAACCCCCATTTTTAATAAAATTTTTGATTTTTCCTGAAGATTTCAATTTTGTTGGAAAATTAACTATTTGTAATGGCTTCATATAATGTTTTTTGTACGTTATTTAAGTTATTTGACTGTTAAACAACCAATTATGTCGAACAGCGTATTGTATGTTGCATACCTACCTTTTTAAAACAATTATTTATATTCACATAAAAAATGCATTTATTTAACATTTAATCTTCTATCTCAATTAATGCAATCTAATTTAACAATGTTTTCTGTTTATTAATATCAATTCTGTAAAATATTATCTTATTTTAAAAATCTATTTTTTGATCCACTGATGTGCATTAGATCACTGCGCATAGGGATGAAATGACGCAACGATCCCGGTCAAGTTCGTTCGCCGCTTCGTTTACTAAAAATGGTTGTTGCGACATCGATGATAAATCTAATCAATTTTAATGATAAATGTCAATTAATTCATAGTGAATTGTTTAAAATAGTCATAATTTTCCCTCTGTGTTGGTTGCAGTTATTTAGTGAATGGATTATGTAGTCAAAGGTAAATAAATTTAAATAAAATACAAATTGTATTATTCCACTAAAAAATCAAAAAGCTAAACCCATCTATCGAGTGAAAATGAGATGATGGAAAAAGAAATCGGTTACCATCCAAATTTAATATCGTTTTTTGTTTGTGAGTTAGGATTTTTTCAATATTTCAACGCACCCTATCTCCCCACTTTTATTTGTTTATTCATTAGCTTATAGAGCTGGATTTTTACTAAACATTTCATGTGATATCGCTTTTGGTTTTTGATTTCTATTTTTTGTTGATAACGCTTTTCGTTTTTAATTTATATATTGTTTTTTTAATTTGAACCACCCTTAGGTAAACCTTTCCATTTATAATTATATATTTTTTTAAATCAAAGGGCTTCTTCCTCTTATAGAACTTGATTTTTAGCTAAAAATGTCAAGTTTATATGATTTTTGGTTTAAGGGGTTTGTGTAAAAAAATGGCTTTTTCGATGCACTCTGTTTACAAAATATTGAATACCGAATATGACCTCAGCTAGTGCAATAATTTTATATGATATTTTATTCAAAATAGGCCAAGATATTTTTAAAAAAAGTATATTTGGGGAAGGCAATACAATTTTAAAAATCCGCATGGTGCTTAGCAACCACGTGTCTCATTCTTGTCAGTTTTTCGTACAACTACGTGCAGTTTACCTTATTATTTTCTATTGTCGCCGCAAAACCAATTCAGATCGCTACGCGGCGGCTGAGTGTCATAGAGAAGGAGGTTCCAGACGTTCTAGATCGCCGAAAAACTACTAGTACAGAGCTTTTATATAAAGAGCGAGTTTGTCGGAAGACGTTAAGTTTCAAGAAAAATGTTGGATAGTAAAGACAAACTGTGATAAATTAGAATTGTGAGTTATAATAGTGCCTAAGTATTATATAAATTAATTAGTACGGTATAAATAAATTATAAATAAATAAACTATTTTTAAATTAAACAATCGTTACACTATTGTCATATAGTGTTTTTTTTGTGCGTCATCTCCATCAACTGCAACGGTTGTTAATCTCGTGTTCTGTGTAGGATTTGTTAATGTTTCCCAGCGCCACTTTAGGAACAACACCTTTTATTAGAACACATAAGTGAATGATTGAGTCAATCCTACCTATGCTTAACAATTAATATTCAATTGATTAAATTAAATAAAAGTCATGACTGTAACTACTGAACCAATCCATTCCCAGTGTTTGTTATAGTTGACTAAATTATTATGGATGAGAGGTATTTTACACCAAAGTAGTTACAAATGCAATGTTATACGGACAGTAGGAGTTAAAGGTGAATTATAAGTAACATACACAGGGAAAAATGTAACAAAGAAGTCCATTAGCCTGAAAAAAGTTTGTCTGCAGTATGGATACCCCTGGAAAAGTAGTCGCTAAGCCCTCTATTAATGAGACGACCTCTTCCACTTTTAGTTTCTGAAAAAGTAGAACTATTTCTGAGCTGCCAACTCAGAAGCATCACACTGCTGTGAAGGTTCCAATAAACAAGAAAAAACTTGATAACGTGCAAAAGCTGATGGAATACACCAAAAGATATGATTGAGGATGAGTAAGGTCTCAAAACTTGAAAACAAGTAACTCCTTTTTAATGTTTTTTCTGATTTATAACTGTAAAAATTAGGAATAAAGAGAAAATTTCTCAAAACATTTTTTTAACCCATTTATTGCAGAAACCCCTTAAGTGAACACTCGAGGTCTACAAACAACTTACTTTGCGATACAAATAAAGAAATTAATATTTGCAGATTTCTTCAAGGTTAATTAATTAATTAATAAATGTTTAAAGTTAAATTCTTAAGAACTTAGTTCTTTTAGATATCTTGTAATTCTTCTTCTTCCTAATGGTGATAATGTTTATTATAATTCTATTTTTGATGTTTTCTATATTTCTAAATAATTTATGTTGGCCTGGAGAGCTCATATAGCGTAAGCTCGAGCTCAATTAATTACACGTACACTGTGATTATTAATATTGTGATGTTTCTTATTTGCATTTGTATTTTCTTACTTGGAATAAATAATAAATATATAAAAAAATAAATAATAATTTTTTTTTCATGTGTTGAAAAGCAATTTAATTTTATAGTTTTGTATCACTATTCAAGAGGCGCACTCCTTAATTTTTTTACATAAAGAACAATAATTTCTTTAGGGCCTAAGTAGTTTTTTCTTATTTATTCAAAATATAAATTTCTGTAAATATGGGCTTTCTAAAATAAACCATTTAATTTAAAATAGAGTAAATACACAAATAATTTATTTATTTACTTACCTTCGTGCGATTTGCAGTATTGCTTTCCAGGTGGACTAGATGGCGCTTTATGGTAACCCACTGAAGGACTTTTAACTATGGTACTGTTGGTTTGACAACACAATTTTGAATAACTTTTTCTAGCACCTGACGCCAAAAGACTACCAAGGGCGGACAGCAGTACTAACATTAAAGGTACACCCACGATGGCGTAAATCATGGTAGCGATTTTTCCTAGAGCCGTTTTTGGAGACAGTTTTCCGTATCCTGCAAAATATAAAAATATTAAGAATTATTAATCTTGTACCTACAAAATACACTTTTCATCAAAAATAAAATAAATTTTATGTAGGAGTTACTTTGGTGCTATAAGTATATTAAATGACCACATTTGTGGAGTTATTTAGCGTTTTTCAGTTTTTATCAAAATGTAATTTTTTTTATGCACGAGGTGTAGTAAAGGGGCTTTGTTCATTCGGGGCCATTCCTTATGTAAATTAACATGGGAAATCGCTAAGGTTCATTCTGCTAATTTTTGTCCATTTCAAGGTCGCGCACCGATGATGTCAATCCAGTGTTGTCAACTGTCAGCTATCAATCTAGTGCTGTCAACTGTCAACTATCAATCTAGTGCTGTCAACTGTCAATCTAGTGCCGTCAACTGTCAGCTGTCAATTCAGTGTTGCCAACTGCCAACAGTGTTGCCAACTAACCTAACAGGAGTCAAGAGTCACCATGAGATGGCGCAACCTGTCAACTAGACGTCGGGCAACCTGTGAGTGGTGCGACTTGGCTTGCGACACGGCTAAGCGTTTCGAGATGGCGGCTATCGTATTCCAAATAAGGGATGCATTTCAGCTGCTATTGGCCCGATTCAAACGGGAAAAACGGCATTATGTAGGGAACGCAGTATAGATGAACGTTGAAGGGAAGAATCGACGTTTCGTTTGACGTTTTCGTTTGACGTTTGATACTTTTTGATAGCTGTAAAGCATTGTTTACTCATCGATGTAATGCCAATTGAATTTGTATGAATTTCTATGATTTTATCTGTTCGTCTGATATATGGCCGAGTAGCACCACTGACAAGTGGAGCGACGTCCAGTTGACAGGTTGCGCCATCTCGTGGCGACTCTTGACTCCTGTTAGGCTATGTTAGCAACACTGTTGACAGTTGGTAACACTGGCTTGACAGCTGACAGTTGACATCACTATATTGACAGCTGACAATTGGCAACACTGGATTGACATCATCGACGCATGACCTTGAAATTGACAAAAATTGGCAGAATGAACCTTAGCGATTTCCCCTGTTAATTTACATAAGGAATGGCCCTGAATGAACATAGCCCCTTTACTAACATCGTTTTATTAAATTATTGACTATTACTCAAAAAGTTTAATTACAGCCAGTAACAGTGATGTGGAAGTATTGATTTAAGTTGCAGCGGTTTTTTACTTAAGTTAACTTATAGAGGAATTGTTTTTAAAACATATACAAATTTAAAATCAAATCGATTAAGAACGTTTCTTTGCAATAGTCAATCTTTATCAAAAAACAGCTTAGCTTACATTGCACCTTTTTTTTATAAATTATTTACGAAAAATATGTCGACCCATCGTTATTTCATGCCTTAATTTTTTTGTAAATGTCTGATAATCGAAAAAAGCTTTCTGGGACTCAGTAGAGAAAAAGAAAACTTGAAAAAGAAGGCTTGTGGTTCAATAAAAACATTTTTAGTCCCAGGACTGCATGAGGCGTCATTAAGTTCTCGAGATACAATTGTGAAGGAGACCAAAATCACAAATCTCAAAGAAGATATTTTAAATGTAGAAGGACGTCCTGAAACCAGTGAAACTGTTAGCAAAGACGCCTCAGAAGATCCGAGTTGGCTGGAAGAAGTAAGTTATGAAGATATTTTACACGTTTTTTATAAAGATGATGCTTATAAGGATGCTAGCTGTTGGTCTTCTGTACTATCAAACGAAATTAAGTTAAATTTAGTAGAGTTAGCCCTATCCAAAGAGGTTAGAAAGGGTAGAGGTAACATAGGAAGCATTTGTCCCTGCGCGAATTTTGCCAAAACCGAAAAACTGGGTGGAAGGAGTAGGGAGATGTTCTGGGCCGGACTTAAATATTTGTATTGTAGTACTTAATTTTGGTAGGTAACTAAAAGATGAAAAATTATGAGACATTTTTTTGACTTTATTTGTTAGCACGATTCATTTATGATGAGGGCAATATATAGCTAGTAGCTAAGGGTGAATTCCACCGTTGTGTTAAACGAAGTTTAAATTACTAAACGAAGATTAAAATGACATTGTTAACGTAAAAATGTCATCTTAATCTCCGTTTAGTAATTTAAACTTTATTTTTGTTAATACAAAAATGTCATTTTAATCTTCGTTTAGTATTTATAAACGGTGAAATCGACCCTAAGTAAAAGTATATAAAATTATTGTAACAAAATAGCTGTTGAGACAAAACAGCCAATATAATTTTTGCTCGAATGACACACAAGATTTTTTTCTATGATCATACCAAAATAAAATAAATAAATGTTATATATATTATAGAAATTATAAAAATATAGAATTTTTTGTTCGTTATAATATTTTAAGTTAATTTGACATAAGCCTACTCTTCGAAGAGAAAAAAATGTTTTGGTACTTATATGACGGTAATTATTAAGGATTTAATTATTTACGGAAAATACTGTTCAATGATTTAAGATATTAGGAAGTCAATAGCTATTTATGTAACCAGTTACGAAATGCCTTATTTCGTTTAATGAGTATATATTTGCGGGACGAGCGGAGCGAGGTCCCGCAAAATGAGCGAGTTACACAAAACGGCATTTCATAACGTGTTTACATACAAGATTTTTTTCTAATGTTGACTTGATTATTTAAAAAATTGTGTTTAAAAATGATTCACCATCATTCTTTTGTAAGTACTTCCAATGAAATATTTCAGAAAATTTTTGTATTTGATTGCCCTACGACTTTTTTTTTTTCAATAGTAATAATAAAAATAAGGGACATGTGCAATGTTGCCGATCTGAGTTTTGACATTCGCCGCGGAAAATTTGAAAAAAAACGTTTTTACCCATTATCCTTAAAGGAGTACGTCAAAATTTTACCCCCAACATTTCTGGGCAGTTTTCAATACCGGTGTTCAATTATTTAAAAAATAAAACGCAATTTACAGCCTTTCCCTTTTTTGTTTTCTTTTTTGTTGTTAAACGTAATGTCATATTTTCAAATGTAAAATGTCACTATTCATTGCCTTGTTTTCGATTTTTTTATTTTTCGATTTTTCGATTACTCGATTTTTCATTTCTTGATTTCTCGATTTTTCGACTTAAAAACAAAAAAAGAGGCAGTTTTATTTATTTTCATTTCGTAAGTGGTGACATAATCAACTTTTTGTAATCAGTTGCATAATGTTCTAATTTATGCAACTGGTTGCATAAAGTAGATCGTTTTAACACTAGCTACGATTACAAAGTATATTACTTATGACAAAATTAGAGAAAATAACAAAAAATAAATTAAATGGGTAGATCCCATATTATTATAGAGTAGCCTAGTGTTTCTCAAACTTTTTTGGCGACGGAACCTTTTTGAAAAGCGAAATATTTGACAGAGCCCTATTTTTTAAATTTTTTTCATTTTGACTCTCATTTTGGGCTTTATATTATGCTTTATATTATGCTCCGATTTCACATATTCAATTTTATAATTGTAATTTGATAATATTACTGCCTATCTACGTAGTCTGTTGGCTGAAAATTGGGGTATACCTTTAGCTGGGTTAAAAATAGTTACCAGAGATAAGTGATTTGTAACTAGGATAAAGAAATGTCCATATAAATATTCATTAAATTTATTTAAGTCAAAAATTATTGCAAGGCCCTCTCTTTCAATTTGGGAATATTTTTGTTTGCACTTTGATAATAAGGTGCGGGAAGCAAAAGCTGTAAATTAGTCAATATTTTTTTCAAAAACATGACATATCATGGCCCTTATTCCCACATTTAATGCATCTACAATTAATTTCATCGGCAACTAAGACTGAAAATGCACAAGAACATCATTTGTTGTTAATGTATTTTTGATTAATGCCAAAGATTCCTTGCAAGAATTATCCCAAATCCCAAGAAATAGTAAACAGTTTATAATAATAACCTTTATTTGCTACTTATAACATGTACCAATGACCAAGTCCGATTCTGTTTATTTTCAAATCAACAAATATGGCCGTCGACAGAATCTTTAAAACTTGAAAAACTCACCGAAATAAATGTAAGTTTCTGCTATTTTCATCACATTTCGCAATTTTATTATAAATAAAGCTTTTTACAATACATTTTGGCATTTTCAACGTTAATTTCCAAAATTTAAGTCACTAAAACACCAAATTAATTCTCGTTGACATATTAAATTTGGATGGACAACGCTCTGACATGTGATGTTCTCAACTGTGATTGGTGGGTGTGAATAATTTCTATAAGTGGGATTAAGCGCAGTATCTTATGTTCCATCTAAGGTTTGTATAATCTAAGGCCCTATCCAAATTTCAGAAGCGGATGTAAACTTTACTTTAAATAAAGATAACAGAGGTTTCTCATCTATTTATAATAAGAAAATTAGGTAACGGGGAAATAATTCCAAGAGTTTAGCTAGTATACTAATTAAAAGATTGTGTATTTTGTTTACCTTGCAAATTATTTAAACATTTCTTTAGTGTCTTTGTCGAGGAGGGATATACCGATTGGAAACATTTAACTCAGTTTATAGAACGTCATAAAAAATCTAAAAGTCACATTTGTAATACAAAATCTTGGATTGATTTAAACAAATCACTTTCTTCTAAAACAAGTACTGATTCTTTTAATGAGAGATTAATAAATATGGAAAAAGATAGATGGGTTTCCATGATAAAAACTATAATTTATACTCTTAAATTCTTAGCCGGTTAATAAGACCCCGAACAAAAAAGCGTTTATTTGACTACGAATATAAAGGTGAGGCTCCAAGAATTCAGAATACCAATTCAAATATAATTTTTATTTTGTAATATTGGACACGGCATTGTAAAAACTAGAAGAAAGGTTTGAACAAATAAAGCAACATCACACAGTTTTCAATTTTCTCAACGACCTAAATAATTTCCTTAAAACAGATAAGTCAAATAGGTCTACAAAATGTAAATATGTGGAATGTACGTTAGATGTTCAACAAAAAATTAAAAATAT